TAGCCAGCAAACCTCTTCAAATGGACAAACTGACTGAGTGATTCAAGACAGACCTTTATTTCTGGATTTCAAAGGTTTATTGCTCTGTTTATTTGTCTGTTCCTATAACTGTTTGGAACCTGCCCTTGCCACAATCAACCCACAGTGGTCATTGCTGGTTCACCATAGATGGCTTTCCATGGCCAAATTTGTTCCCGATTCCCTTTAGGTTCTGGTTCTGCTATCCACAGACATTGTCATCCTTTCCAGGAACGCTAAAAGGCTTAAGCTGATCAAATCCCTGCCACCAACAAATCCCACAACCCCTATTGTCCATGGCAGTGTAGTCATCGTATAACTGCTTCTCCTCTAATGTCTGGTTTGCCGTGGCCTCTAAAGTGTGAATAGGCCGGGCGGCTTGTCACGCTGTATCCTAGTCTTGGGGCCGATGCGGCGGATTGCTAAGTCGAGTTTTCAAACCGCCTGAGCAAGGAGCGAGACGGTTTCTTACAGAAAAATTAATTGCATGATATATATATAAAAAAAAATTGCCGGGATAGTGGCGCATTGCTGTGGTTCCAGTCTCGGGGAGCGTTGAGGAGAGGATCACGTCGAGCCAGGAGTTTTGAGGTTGGCTGTGCTAGGCTGTGCCACGGCATTCACTTCTAGCCTGACAAGTGAGACTCCTGTTCTCAAAAAAAAAAAAAAAACCAAAAAGAAATGTGTCAGTCGGCACATTATCCCATGTTCTTCTGACCAGCCCAGAATGCATGGGATCAAATCTTCCAGACCTGGCTGGCAGTGTATACAGCTACTAATCCAGGCAAGATTTGGCCCACTTAACTTACTAAGTTACAGGAAATCACAATGATACCCTAAGGCCCTTTAATATATTATCTTGCAGTTTAGATTAATAGAGTTATTCTAATTACTATTTCCTAGAGGTCTATGCAATTCATTGCAGAAGTCTACAGGAGCCTCTTTGTAATACTTCTCTTTTTTTTATCTTTAATAAGAATAATCCTTCATAATTGTATCAATTTCAAATTCCCTTCAATATCTCTGATATTTGAGGTAACAAGGCATAGCAGGTTACAACTAAATGAGAAACCAAGGCTAAACAGGTCAGTCACCTGCTTGGGATTTACTGCTAGTACTGCAAAGTCAGAATGACAACCAGAGTCCTCTGTTTGAAATCTAGATAATGTCCTTCACACAACCAACCTCATCTTTATTGTGTGCAGTGAAAGAACTTTGACGTCAGAGGCCAAAGGTTGCTAATCCCAGCCTGCTGCTCCCTGGCTGACACTCTGGAGCGTTACTTAACCTCTCTCAGATTCCTTCTCCTCATTGGTAAAAATGGAAACAGTCTTCTTCTCCTCTCCACAGAGCAGCCTGTGAGGATCAGCAGGCTACAGAAGGGAAGAGACTAACAGGGAAGACACACAGGACCATGGCAAATACCTCAGGCCAAATCAGTGTTGCCTTCCATCTTTTACTGGGGAATCCACCAATACCTGTGGCACTCCTGTGGTGCATGGAAAACCAACAGTCTTCAGGGAGTTTAAATTTTCTTAATACAGATACTTTGAAACATTTAGTCTTTATTTTCTAGAGGTTTACGTTCTGAACGTATGTAGATTCATTACAGCTGAAAAACAACTCTATTAACTCATCATAAAGGAATTTTAGTTGGAATTGTTTATGTTGGTGTGGTACACTATCAGAGTGAGTGACTATTATGACTAAATCTGGACTGCAACATGGTAACAGAAACGTTATTTTTACAAAGTTAATTAGCCTGATCAAGAATAATGTCTTCGAGATTCCTCTTGGCTTATCTCTCCATGATTCTATGTTCTCAACTTCAATTTTAATTACCTGTAATGTGGGAATAGACTGTGTGTATTGTTCCTTACAGTCCCAACAGTTTCTTCAAAGTTCTAGGTCTAAAGGGATTTACATAAGTACCCAAACATTTTTGATTGGAGGGAAAGTTCAACTCATTACTGAAGCAAATACAGGCCAGCTTATGATTATTGATGTATATGTTGAAAACATTTTGAAAGTATTACCATAAATGTCATTTTTTCAATGGATATGTGGGGGTAGGTAACTCAAGTAAGCTTTTTGCAAATTTTGTAAATGATTATAGATTAGACAAATAGTCATAGATACTCTGTCACAATTAATTACTATAAGGTGTTTATTTGATTTATGATTTGTTGATTTGATTGATTTGGCAGAGTTCACTGTTTGGCCCGGGCTGAGAGTGAGTGCCGTGGCATCAGCCTAGCTCACACACGCCCAACTCCTGGCTCAAGCGGATACTACTGCCTCAGCCTCCCGAGTGCTGGACTAAGGCATGCACCACCATGCCAGCTAATTTTTTCTATATACAATATGTTGGCACATATTTCTTCTATTTATAGGTATGAGACAGGTCTCACTCTTCCTTCAGGCTGGTTTCGAAATCCTGACCTCCGAGCAATCCGCCCCCTCGGGTCCCCCAAAGTGCTAGATTCGGAAAGGGGTGGGGCGCCGTGAGCCACGGTCCGGCTAAGGTATTTTAATCATTATTCAGCATACTTATGAACCTCTGTGCAGGTACTATGCAGCGCATGCACCACGGATAATAAATTATGCTCCCATGGTGCTATATATATAATTAATATATGTGTGGGTAAGTGAGTATATTTGTTTGACTAGCAGAATGTTTTTGTTTCATTTTTCTGTTGCTACTCCCTGTAGTGCTACAGTAACCATTATTAATCTGGTTCCTTATAGGATTTGAATTTTTGACTCTTGGTTTAGAATATAGTGGGAAGACTGACGTGCACATAATGAGATTATAATGTGAAAATTGTCATAATAGCCCCATGTACCAATTGCAAGGAGATTTTAGGGGCACCAGCTCCTTAGTTGAGGAAGTGAAGAGAAGCACCATGGTGTGGTAGACAGAACTAGATGAAGAATTGCAGATCCAGCTTCAAATGTGTGCCCTTGGCCACATGACTTAACCTTTTTGGTCCTCCAACTGTTGATCTGTGAGGGCAGGATGTCTAGGCTGTGCTCTGCAGAGCCTTCTCAGACCCATGCCCTCCCTCTCAACCCCCAACCAGAGCATCTGTACCTTTTCTATTCTTCATGTACATCATTCTTCATGGACATCACTGAAAGGTTTTGTTTGAGAAGTGAGTTCTTTGGCCTAAGAAAGTTTTGAAAACATGTGGACTAGATGATTTCCCAAATCCCTCCAGGCCTAGCATCCAATGATTATTACTTCTAATATTCCATGCATATTCACTGTTAATATGCTAACAAAACCCAAAACAAAACAAACAAAAAAACTTATTGTCAGGTGAAAACACCTTTTGCCCCCATAAAGGGTCATTTGGTTGAGATGAAGGTCACACAGAGGGTCCATGATGATTCAGGTTCAAAACTGAAGAGTTTTAGAGATTAGCTTGAGCAATGTAGAGACACTCCAGAGACACTACAAAAAACAGAAATTTTAGCCAGGTGTGGTGGTGCATTCCTGTAGTCCCAGCTACTTGGGAGGCTGAAGTAGGAGGATCACTTGAGCCGAGGACTTTGGGATTGCAATGAGCTATAATGATGTCAGTGCACTCTAGCTTGGGCAACAGAGTAAGACCCTGTTACCAAAAGGAAGAACAAACAAACAAAAAAAGCCAAGAGTTTTAGTTCTTTATAAACTTATTTTTATAGTGGTCCCATATGGCAAAGTCTCAGTTGCATCCTTAAAAAACCTTTCTTGTACCTTCTGGAGGACTTTGAAGAGTCACATACTTTATGTTGTTTTGATGTCTATATTTCTTTACATTGCTTTCCAGCTATCATCACTATCTAGAACATTTATGTAAAAATATACTGGAATTGTTTAAGAGCATGTTTCTCTGTATACTGTTTGTTCCATCTTTTCCCACTTTTCTTTTCTTTTGTTCATGATAGATCTGATTATTGTGGAAATAACTGTGATCTCTATGAGCAACAGGAACTATTTTCACCTATCTCTTGCCAGGAATTAGGCCCAAGGGAAGGGAAGAAACCTCAGAAGGAAAAAGGAGACAGTAGAAGAAAGATTGCGTGAACAATTGTTTAGCATTTATTAGATATGACCTTACAAATTACTTAATCCCTTTGAGCCTTAGTTTCCTCTTCTATAAAGTAGAGATCATAATACCTCCCCTAGAGCCTTGTGAGGATTAAAAAATGTAAAGGATGTAAGTGCTTAGCCTGGTGTTTGGGCTACTGAAGGCACTAAAGTTAGAATCTCTCTCTTCTTTCCCTTTTTTCTGTACTGTTTTATGTACCTTTTCCTCCTTTGGAATTTTCCTTCCTTCCTCCTTTTCCTCTTTCTCACAAATATTTGTTGAACACCTACTGTATGCGAGGTATTTCTCAAGGTGCTGGTGATATAGCAGTGAGTAAAAAAAGTATCTGGCAGGGCTCTGTGGCTCACGCCTGTAATCCTAGCTCTCTGGGAGACCGAGGCAGGCAAATCGTTTGAGTTCAGGAGTTCAAAACCAACCTGAGCAAGAGTAAGACCCCAACTCTACTATAAATAGAAAGAAATTAATTAGCCAACTAATATATATAGAAAAAATTAGCCAGGCATGGTGGCACATGCCTGTAGTCCCAGCTACCTGGGAGGCTGAGGCAGTAT